CATGTGACACTCCGTGCAAAACACTGGATAGCCCCCAACCCCCTGCTGGCATTCTGGCTTCATAATTCTTTTAAAATAAATAAATATAATCCCCCTTTTAAACCCTTGGTATTTATGTGGGTTTTGTTATCAAGTCAAATTATTTTACGGGAAAGACAAAGAGCCTAGGGCCTTGTCTTTCTGGCTCTTTTTGGGCTTCTTACAGCGCCCCTAGTCTAAGAGTCCCTAGGCTAAGAGCCACAGGCAAAGAGCCCTTTAGCTCACCCTTCGGCTCAAAAAGAAATTTAGCAACAGTTTCTGTTATCTCAAGGTTTGGATTATCAAGAAGAATAAGGATCTTTAGGCAATCACGATATTCTTCTAATTGAGCCAAAATAAAATTTAGAAATTTCAGTCGTAGTGCATGGTAGAAGGGGCACTGCAACAAGACATGGGAAATCATTTCGATATTATCATTTGTGCATGGACAACATCTGTCAGAAAAGGGCACAACCTGAAAGCGGCCAGATAATAAGGCTGAAGGTAATACATTGAATCTAGGCAAAGAGAGGGCTCTACGGAGTTTGGGGGTGTGAAGTTGGTACAAGTAAGAGGCAGGTTGGCCGACTTTAGGAGATATTCCAAAATACAGGGGTGAACAGGTTTTATTAGCAGCATTATACAGTGAATGTAGCTCAGAACAAAGTAGATTGGCTCTTATAATTGAAAAAGCCTCAGATTCGGAGGTAAGGAGTAAGGAATCTAAGGTGATATCCAGTGATTTAATTTTGGATTCTATCACATCACATTCTGCCACATCTTCTCCCATTTATTCAGTTCAATAGCATGCCCTATATTTCTGGCCCATGCAATCATTGAAACCTTTACAGTCTCATCCTGCATCTTGTAATCTAGCAAAAGAGAATAAAATTTACGAATTAGTTTATCCTCTGGGCCTAAAAATATTTTATCAAGTTCAGACATCCCTGAGCAAAAGCCTGTTTGTTTATCTTTCGTGTACCTGGAAACTAACTGATTTATTTCCCACCAGGATAAGTAGATCTCTTGTGATTGTAAAGTTTCCTGCGATTTAAGCGCATTATTTTAATGTAGAAATACTTCATAATTCAAAACGTGGGTATCAGTCATCAGATTGGGTAAAGAAGTGGTTGAAGGCTGTTCCTCTAATAGAAAATGTGTTTAAGATGTTTCACCGCTGGCATCTAACACCTGATAGATTGCCCCATTTTTATTCTGGCGTTAATAATAAATGCTGGAAATGTAAATCTCAGGTAGGCTCTTTCTATCATGCCTGGTGGACCTGCACTGCAGTTAAAAACATTGGAAGGAGATTCATTTGGTATTAATACAAGTAACTAACTTACAAATTCCGCTAGGCCTGGAAATATTTCTGTTAAATATATTACCCAAAAATTGGCAAAAGGATGAAAAGTATATGATCATTCACTTACTTACGGCGACCAGAATAGTATTGGCAATGTTTTGGAAGAATGAAGACATGCCTCTTGGATGGGATTTCATTTATAAAGCTATTGAAGTGGCTGAAATGGATAATTTAACCCAAAAACTTCGTGAAAATATGAATTCAGTTTTTCAAAAAGTATGGCCAAATCTGTATAAATGCTTAGAAATGAACATTAATTCATAGTAGATGTATATAACTATTTTTCAGTTTCCCATCTATAAGAAATTATGATGTAAGATGTAGGATTGGTTTTAAGGTTTATATGTTTCTCAGTTTCTGTTTATCAGTTTTGTTTCCAAAATAATAATAATAATAATTTAAAAATTTGGATTCTATATAGGTAATCCAGTTAGAGTCATTAAATTCCAGTAGAAGCTGATAGGTGTAACTAGAAGGGTCTGAATGGAAAAGAAGGCGAAGCCAATACTTAAATGTAATTAGCCATCCATGCTTGTACCTGCCACTACCTCCTGTGGCAGTTAATTCCAGGTGTTAATCACTCTTTGGGTGAAGAAATACTTCCTTTTATCCATTCTAACCCGTCTGCTCAGCAATTTCATGGAGTGCCCACGAGTTCTTGTATTGTGATAAAGGGAGAAAAGTACTTCTTTCTCTACCTGCTCTATCCCATTCCTAATCTTATAAACCTCTATCATGTCACCCCCTCAGATGTCATTTCTCCAAGCTAAAGAGCCACAAGCTCCTTAACCTTTCTTCATAGGGGAAGTGTTCCAACCCTTTTATCTTCTAGTTGCTTTTTTCTGCATTTTTTACAATGCTATAATATCCTTTTTGAGATGTGGTGACCAGAACTGCACACAGTATTTCAAAAGAGGTTGCATCATCGATTTATACACGGGCTGATTTATGATACTGGCTGACTTGTTCTCAGTTCCCTAATAATCCCCTGCATAGCGTTGTCCTTTTTTATTGTAGTCGCACACTGTCTCGACATTTTCAGTGAGTTATCTGCTATGACTCCAAGATCTCTCTCTTGGTCAGTCTCTGTCAGTTCAGACCCCATCAATGTGTATTTATACTTAGAATTTTTGGCCCCAATGCAGCTCACTTCAGACTTGGCCACACTGAACCCCATATGCCACATTAACACACACTCACCCATCCTTCAAAGATACCATTGGAGTACCTCAGTATCCTCTCTAGTTCTCACCACCCTGAACAATTTATTGGAATCCACAAATTTAGCCACTTCACTGCTTACTCCCAACTCCAAATCATTAGTGAATAAGTTAAAAAACATTGGACCCAGTACTGATCCCTGCGGTACCCCACTGCTTACCACCCTCCACTATGAACAATGCCCATTTATACTCTGTTTCCTATTATTGAGACAGTTTTTTATCCACAAGTGGACTTCTCTTTTTATCCCATGACTTACTTAGGAGCCTTTGATGAGGAACTTTATCAAAAGCTTTCTGAAGTCAAGGTAAACAACATCTATTGGGTACCCCTTGTCCACATGTTTGTTCACCCCCTCAAAGAACATTAACAAGTTAGTGGGACAAGATCTTCCCTTACGGAACCCATGCCAAGTCTTCCTCAATAGTTTTTGGTTCATCAATGTGCCTACTAATTCTTTCCTTAAGAATGGTTTCCACCAACTTACCTGGTATTGACATCAGACTGACCGGCCTGTAATTTCCCAGAACCCTTTTTAAAGATGGGAGTGACATTACCTACCTTCCAGCCCTCAGGAATGGAGGCAGATTTTAAAGAAAGATTACATATTTTTGTCAGGAGATCCACAAGTTCACATTTGAGTTATTTGAGAACTCTCGGATGTACGCCATCCGGGCCTGGTGATTTATCAGTTTTTAAGCTGTCTATCAGTTGTAGGACCTCCTCTCTCATCACCTCAATCTGACTCAGGTCTTTCAACACCCCTCCTGAAATCAGTGGTTCTGGAGTGGGCAAGCACTTCTCATCTTCCACAGTGAAGACAGAGGCAAAAAATGCATTCGGCTTCTCAGCCATTTCCCTATCGTCCTTCAGTAATGCTTTTACCCCTTGGTCATCCAAGGGCCCCACTGCCTCCCTGGCTGGTTTCCTGCTTCTAATGTATTTGAAGAAAGTTTTATTGTTGGTCTTTATGCTTTTGCAATATGCTCCTCATATTCCCTTTGCTGATCACAGAATTGCATTTTATTTACCACAGCCTGTGTTCCCTTTTATCAACCTCACTGAGGTTTACATCACTAGTCTCTTTGTACCTAAGCAGCACTCAGTTCAGTGGGTTCATGAGAAGAGAGCACACAAGTAAAGCAGACCCCTTTTTAAATATATAAAGGTTTCTTAAGGATAAATAAAATAAAACATCACTAAACAGCAAAGTTTCTGCAGCTCAGCAGCAGAAGAACAGGAGAGCTAACTGTTCTATCTAATACATGCAATACGTGGTATTGGATGGCACCTCTTTTGCAGTATAAGTATTCCAGCTGCACCCTAAGTTACTTTACAGAAAATTATTCATGATGCAGTGGGAAAATATCAAGACATACTAGCATGGCTTCAGTATAAATTTAGCCTGGCTTCCCTCTTGTCTATATGTGTATTCTACATTCTGCCTCCTAGGGTGAGGTGGTCCTAATGACCCAATCAAGGGTCCTCCTTGATAGAATTTTCCAGAGGCAGTCAGCACCCTCCTAATCCCCCTCCCTCCTAGCTACACAACTGGATCCAGGTTGTTATGATTAACCAATGGCCTTGAAAAAGATCAGAGTGCAGGGAGACTCTAATTGCAAACGCTGGAAGTCAGACCAGGCCACTTAATATTCAGGTAAACCCATGAGGAATCTAGGGTGCTTTACCTCACAGATCTATTCCCCTTATACTAATTGGAATTGTGGGCTTTGCTCTTGACCATGAGTTCATCCTTCCAGAAGAATTTTTACTCTTGAATGTCTTTCCTTCCCCATATAAGAATGATCATGTTCTCTCTGTCTCTGTGTGAACGAAGGCAGGAGTATAAGAGAGACTACGGTGGAGATAGACAATGGCCTTGCGTCTAAAGAAAGGCTGAGGATTTCCTCAAGAGGATCCCATGAGCATATTTCCTTCCCAAATGAGCTGGCTGAGAGTGAGTATCCTTCACAATTATGTCAAGGGAAAAGGCAAGGAAGTGCCATGGGGGATTTCTGATTCACTTCTGAGCAGTGTTTCATAGAATCATACAGCCCGCTGGGGAAGGAGGGAAGCCCTGAAATCTGGAGTCTTAGAAGGTCCTTGTGGGCAAGAGCTCAGTTGTGGCACTTGAGGAGATGAAGTATCCTTAAATACTAGATATTCTGTGGAAAGGTGGAGGGGTGGTTAAAATCTGCCAAATTGGACGAAGCCAAAGGGCCATCAATCCTTTTCTACTACAGTCACATAGATGTCTTTGGACCTTACGAGCCCTCCCAGGTGCTAACGGGACCTCTCTTTATTCTAGCAGAGGATGATCAGAGGAATGAAGGGGGCAAGGAACTTCATCAGCAAATGCCAGATAAAATTAAAAATGAAAGCTCGAAAGAAAATGTCATGAATCGAGGAGGACCGATGAGAAAGAAAGGCAATCATATGGTTAAGAAAAGAGATGTACATATTCGAAAGCACAGGATAATGAAGGCAAATAAATCCATTCAGTGTGAAAAGTACTTCAGAAACAGATCACAGCTCTTTGTACTCCAAAGAATACACACAGTCAAGAAACCTTTTGAATGCTCAGAGTGTGGAAAGAGATGTTGTGTGAGAGGGAATCTTAAATGGCATCAGAGAAACCACACGGGTGAGAAACCTTTTGAATATTCAGTGTGTGAAAAGAAATGCATTGTGAGTGAGAATCTTAAAAAGCATCCGACAACCCACACAAGGAACAAATCTTTCAGATGTTCAGTGTGCAGAAAGAGATTCAGTTCGAGTGGCAATCTTCAACTTAACCTAAGAACCCACACAAGTGAGAAACCTTTTGAATGCTCAGAGTGTGGAATGAGATTCAGTCAGAGCGGCAGTTTTCAACTGCATCAGAGAATCCACACAGGAGAGAGACCTTTTGAATGCTCAGACTATGGAAAGAGATTCAGTCACAGTGGCAATCTTCAACGACATCAAGCAACCCACACAGGGGTGAATCCTTTTGAATGCTCAGAGTGTGGAAAGAGATTCAGTCAGAGTGGCAGTCTTCAACAGCACCAAAGAACCCACACAGGAGAGAAACCTTTTGAATGCTCAGAGTGTGGAAAGAGATTCAGTCGAAGAGGTGATCTTCAACTACATCGAAGAACCCACACAGGGGAGAAACCTTTTGAATGCTCAGATTGTGGAAAGAGATTCAGTCAGAGTGGCAATCTTCAAGAGCATCAGAGAACCCACACAGGGGAGAAACCTTTTGAATGCTCCGAGTGTGGAAAGAGATTCAGTCGGATTGCCCATCTTCAACAGCATCAGAGAACCCACACAGGGGAGAAACCTTTTGAATGCTCAGAGTGTGGAAAGAGATTCAGTCAGAGTTGCAGTCTTCAACAGCACCAAAGAACCCACACAGGGGAGAAACCTTTTGAATGCTCAGAGTGTGGAAAGAGATTCAGTCAGTGTGGCAGTCTTCTAAAGCATCAAAGAACCCACACAGAGGAGAAAGCTTATCAATGCTCAGAGTGTGGAAAGAGATTCAGTAGGAGTGGCAATCTTCAGACGCACCAAAAATCCCACACAGGGGAGAAACCTTTTGAATGCACAGAGTGCGGAAAGAGATTCAGTGATAGTGGCACTCTTCAGAAGCACCAAAGATCCCACACAGGGGAGAAACCTTTTGAATGCTCAGAGTGTGGAAAGAGATTCAGTCACAATAGCAATCTTCAAGTGCATCAAAGAACGCACACTGGGAAGAAACCTTTTGAATGCTCAGAGTGTGGAAATAGATTCAGTCAGAGTGGCAGTCTTCAGAAGCACCAAAGAACTCACACAGGGGAAAAACCTTTTGAATGCTCAGAGTGTGGAAAGACATTCAGTCAGAGTGGCTCTCTTCTAAAGCATCAAAGGACCCACACGGGAGAGAAACCTTTTGAATGCTCAGAGTGTGGAAAGAGATTCAGTCAGAATAGCAATCTTCAAGTGCATCAAAGAACGCACATTGGGAAGAAACCTTACGAATGCTCAGAGTGTGGAAAGAGATTCAGTCAGAGTGGCAGTCTTCAACACCACCAAAGAACCCACACAGGGGAGAAACCTTTTGAATGCTCAGAGTGTGGAAAGAGATTCAGTCTGAGTGGCACTCTTCTGAAGCATCAAAGGACCCACACAGGAGAGAAACCTTTTGAATGTTCAGAGTGTGGAAAGAGATTCAGTCATAGTAGCTATCTTCAGCTGCACCAAAGAACCCACACAGGGGAGAAACCTTTTGAATGCTCAGAGTGTAGAAAGAGATTCAGTCAGAGTGGCAGTCTTCAACAGCACCGAAGAACCCACACAGGGGAGAAACCTTTTGAATGCTCTGAATGTGGAAAGAGATTCAGTGATAGTGGCACTCTTCAGATGCACCAAAGAACCCACACGGACTTCCGGTGATGCTAGAAGAAGATGGACGCCTAAATTCTGTGCTCCACCGATCTTCCCCTTATTTTAGCCAGGCACAGCGATCATACCAGTCTAGAAACCAACGAACACATGGGGGAAAACTACACAGAGGACATCCAACGAAACGTTAAAAAATCACAGATGGAGAAGCCTCCAGAAGGGCAACAGCAGCAATTTTCTACAAGGAGCACACAACCTTCAGAAAACATCAAAATGGCAGTGGGAGGGATTGGCGCCAAAAACGCGGCAAATCCAATTATGAAGGCTCAAATGACATTGGAGCTCTCTGCAGCCCTGCAAACTTTGGAGTCTACATTGCTTGATAAAATATCATCCCTGATTAAACCGTTACACAAACAATTAGAAGGCATTCAAAAAAATTTAGCAGAGACAAGGAATGTGGCTGAGGGAGCAATGCAAAATACTTTAGCGAATAGATCTGAAATACAACAAATACAAATTACAGAAGATGCACTAGCTGAAAGAACTTTAAGATTTGACATGTCCCAAAGGCAAAATAATCTGAAGCTACGAAGACTAGGAGAGAAAGTAGCTGAAAAAGAACACTTAATAACACATCTATCTGAATGGCTGCTTCAGCAAGTTGGAGTTGAAAAAGATGTTCCCCCAGTTCTCACTAAAGCATTTCGTCTTGGACCCCCTACCCTTCTAAAAACAAAGCACTTCAGAGATAGCCTCGTGACGGTTTTGGATCTACGTTATAAAACCAGGATTCTACAGATGGCGAGGAAAAAAGGAGGACTTTCTTACAAGAATGCTGTCACTGAAGTATATCCCGATCTCCCAAAGGAAGCTTTACAGAAAAGGAGGGAGCTTAAAATCATTACCAGTTGTCTCATGGATGCAGGAATTAAATACAATTGGACAACACCTCTTGTACTGCAATTCTCATACAAAGGAAGATCTCACAAAATCTACAATCCTGAAGACAGCATCAAACTTCTGCGGAAAATCGATCTAGATGTTCCGATGGACTGCACTAAAGGGACTCAAAAGTGGAGACACTTTTCCTCCCCTGAACTTCCACCTGATCACTGGCGAGTGGCGGGGACGAATTCGTGAGACATTTAGCCCTCTTTTTATTTCTTACAATATAAGGTTGCAGGGAGTAGTAGTTATATACTGTTAAGTTTAGACGGTTGCTAGCTAGTACATGTTGATGTTTGAGTTAATATGTTCGGCTTTTATACTAGAAAGAGGGAGTTTTTAACCTGAGGAGATGCTTGAATTCTATAAATGCTTCTGTACGCCACACTCTCTGCGGCTTTCCATGCCTATAAACTGTACATCTGCAGACTGTCTATTTGTGATTGCTAATGCTCAGAAAACTCATTGCCCCTCTATGAACTTTACTCCATTAGTTGATATTATTGATGGCCACAGATGTTATGCTCTGCACTTTAAAAGCTGCATCTACTAAGGGACAAAAGCAAAGCTGTGTTGTATTAATGTACTTAAATCATAGTGCCTGTACTTGATGCGGGGAAAGACGGCGAGGGAAGTGTCCAACAAGTTATAACTGGCTTGTTTAATGTAATTTTTATTCTGGTTCTACTAAAGATTTTCTAATGTTCATGCACTTTTATGATGCTGGGGGGAGGGAAGGTGGATTGTTTCGGGGTTCAAATAAGTCCTAGCTCATTTAAGGCTCTAGTGAAAAGGTAGCTGGGTTGGTCCTTCTAGAAGGCATCCTAGCCTCTCACACACACTCTTTTAGTGTGGGAGACATTAGAGTCCTTACAATAATTCTGTAGCTGATCTTGAAAATAATTAACTACTGAATCTACATTGATTGTTGTGGTTTTTTAAAATATACATATTAATTAATTAATTACACTTTATTGATTGTGTTAAGACTCACCAACCATTAATACTGCATTGACTGTTCTTTACAGTAACTTAATCTTGTTGTACACATATACTTTTCAAATTGACTTATTTCATTGTTTTTCTGAAACAATTTTCAACGACAATATTTTAGCAGCTTCGATTGAAGGAGAGATACGTGACTAGTAATAAATTTTTAGTAGAACACAACTAAACTTACCGTTATAAATCCAAGCACTAAATACTTTTCTACATTTCTTTGAGCATAAGAGAAAAGGGGCTGGTCAGGTACAAAACTAGGTTACAGTCTAACACAATTCTGGTTGTAAGAAACCTTAAGTCTTTGGTGCCATCTAGTGCAGGAAAGCTATAGATTACATTCATTGGAAGCATACAATACAACTCCTTCACCTAGGAAAATAGTTTAGTTTAAGGTACTAAAGGGTATTTCTCTAATAATTGTGACGGAATACAATGTATCGTAGATACTGAGGGCCAATAATCTGAGACAATTACTAGAACTATAGGGTTCACTGCCGCGGTTGAATACTTTACATATCATTTGCAGTAATTACATACTGTTATTCAGAGAGTAGCAAAATGGTTGTCAGCTCTAAAATTATTTCGGCAAATGTACGTGGTTTGAATAACAATATATTTTAAAAATTGTTCTTTCTACTATTCTGAAACAACACCCAGATGTGGTTCTTTTGTAGGAGACACACTTAAAAAAACTGGAAAACATAGTTTTTAAATCTGCTAAATTTCAATCTCATTATCTTTCATCAGGGACTTCAAAGTCATTCTTATAGCAAAAAAAGCACGCTTTACTTTCAAGGCCAAGAAGCAAGACTCAGAGGACAGGTACATTTTTATTAAAGGAACACTGGAGGAGCGTTTAGTCACTATAGTATCCATGTATGCACTGAATAATGGGCAATTGGGCTTTATTATGGAGACTAACAGAATTGTTGCAGTTCACAGAAGGTGACATTATTCTAGGTGGGGACCTCAACTTTATAGTAGACAATTCTATTGACAGATCACACCACAATCCCAGCAATAAAAAGACTAAAAAGAGATATACTAGATTGACTTCATTGTTCAAGGAACACAATCTATCTGACATTTGACGTATAATGCATCCGCCCGACAGGGACTATACCTACTTTTTGACAATGCACAATGTGCACACCAGAATTGATTTCATCTTAATCTCACCTAGCTTGTTAGATAGGGTAATTTCCACTTCTATTGTCCCGTCCCAATGGTCCGACCATGCATGGACAGAATGTACTATCATACAAACAGACCAAGTTAAAACAAAACAGCAATGGGCTCTCAATACATTTTTATTGAAAACTCCAGATTTTAGGAAAGAAATAGAACAGGAGATAAAACTGTTTTTCCAAGAAAATGACAAAGGTGAAGTAGCCCTGATCATGTGCTGGGATGCTATGAAGCCGGTGTTGAGAGACAGGATCATATCAAAAGCTTCTTTTCTTAAAAAACAAAAACAGGCAGAGAAAGATATTTTAGACAAAATCAAACAATTAGAACAACGTCACAAGGCAACGGGATCTTCACAGGTCTTAAAACAATTGAATTTAGAAAGGAAAGCACTCAGCATGCTAGAAGTCTCTAGAATTAAGAAACAACTTATTTTTACAAAGCAAAAGTACTCGGTTAAATCACCAAGATCACTGAACCTTTTAGCACACAGGGTCAAAGAGATCAAATTTTCAAAACAGATTACTGCCCTCAAGTCCAGAACAGGGGAAATAGCTATGAAAACCTCAGACATCTTAAAAGTGTTGGAGGAATACTACAAAGAATTATATAAATCAGTGCGTGTGAGCAATGACACATCTCACAGGCACATGGATGAGTTCCCTGTACATACCAGGTTGGAAGATAGGCATAGGTTGGTCATGGAAGACCCTATAACAGAGAAAGAGGTTTTAGAGAATATAAAGGAATTAAAACACAAAAAATCCCCAAGCCCAGATGGTTTCCAATACAAGTTCTACAAGGTATTTGTGACACAACTTGTTGGGCCAATGACAAAGGCATTTAACAATATCTTAGACACGGGCAACATTCCCCAATCTTGGAAACAAGCGATCACGGTAGTCATACCAAAAAAGGAAAGAGACCCGACAAGCCCTAAATCGTACCGCCCAATCTCATTATTAAATCAGGACATTAAATTTTTCACATCAATTTTAGCAAAAAGGTTTGTCATGACCCCACCCTGCCGCCTCTCTACCAATGCCCCGGCTTTGGGCTGCCTTAGAGACTCCGGGCTTAGTTTTCCTTATCAGGGTCGGTTCAACCAGCACATTCGGGAGTAAACTGTTAATAAATTTGGTAGCTTAAGTTATTAATACGGCCTGAGTTTCCTTCGAAGGCATAACGAATGGGTCAGTGACTATATCCAATTATAAAATATATTTTTATTACAAAAAAGCAAGTCAGTTAAAAGCATAAACATGTAAGGGGAAAAGAGATTGTGTATACAAGGACAAAAAAAAGGAACACAAAACTAACTCTCTAATCTAAATTACTTAACCTTGACTAAAACATCAATAGCAACAGCGAAATAGCTGGGCCTTGTACCTGGGAATAATCTTGCCTCCTTCCAACGTAGCTGACCAATGCACCCGGTCTCCGCTCGTCTTTCCAGGAAGGGTGATATAATCCTCCTGCATAGGTCCCAGGCTTCTTCCAGCACTCTTGAACTGATGCATGCAGTTCCAAGTATCCAGACACAGCCTCTGGCTATCTCTAGCTTCCTGTGTCTGCCTGCCTGCTAGCTACCTACTAAATAGTAGCCCAGCTGTCAAGTAATTACATTCCTAATTACTGGCTTACACGTGGCAATCTAGATCTCTAGCTGTCAAGATCTTGCTTTGTCATGCTGATGTTTGACATTTTACAGCTGTACTCAGTTGTAACTACTGCCAGGTGTTTAATTCAGGGTTACTTGTTCTGCTCACGTGGTCCTGCTAAGGCTTACTATCTATGCAGATATTATCCTAATAGGCTCATCACTTGACAAGGTTAAATACATTTATTCAAAATTACATTCACACAGATCAGGTGGGATTTATCCCTCATCGAGATCTCGCAGACAATACCCTGAAAAAGCTAGTTCTTCTCCAGCATAGTACTAAAATTAAACAACCCATGGCCCTTCTCTCACTGGACGGAGAGAAGGCCTTTGGTTCGGTGGAATTTCCATACCTCTTTGAAATACTTAAACATATGGGATTTGGCCCCAAATTGTTACAAACTATATAAGGCCTCTATGCAAACCCAACCACCAATATTAAGTCCAATGGCTCCCTATCGAATACCAAACATTTTAAAAGGGGAACGAGGCAGGGTTGCCCGCTGTCTCCACTATTGTTTGCTATGGCTGTGGAACCATTGGCACAAGCCATTAGGACAAATCAACAAATTGAAGGCATCCAAATTAAAGGAATCAAGTACAAAATTTCACTCTTTGCAGACGATCTGCTGCTTTACATCACAAACCCTCTAACATCCATAGCTGAACTAATGAGATTGTTAACATTCTTTGGAGAGGTTTCGGGATTGCACATTAATAATACCAAATCGCAAATATTAATCTATCTGACACTGAGAAATCCCTCCTCAGACAGCAATATCAATTCGAGTGGGTCACAGAAGACTTAATGTATCTGGGAATAAAGATACCATTAGACTTGTACAAACTTCTACAACATAATCACAACATGATTTATGCAGAGACACGCAGTACTTTTTCACAGTGGGAAAAGCTGAATCTCACATGGCTAGACAAATACAATTTGATAAAGTCGTTCATTTTGCCTAAATTTATATTTTTGTTTCAGACCATACCTATTGCCAGCAGCAGAAATTATTCCCATCCTACAGTCACTCCACTTTCTGCCGATCGGTTACAGGACTCAGCTTGAAGTATTGGCTACTAGGAATAAGGCCTGTCATGGAAATAAATACAATGAAGTCTAGAAAGAGGCTCTGGGAGAGTGCCAAGGCCTTGGACACTTAGCATCAATTTGCTGTGGCAACCTCAGCAGGGTATAGTGACACAGATCCCACCATTTTCTCCAGAGGAACTGATCTCTTCTACCTGAAGACCAGTTGTAATTTTGGGTGATCTCCAGCCCTCACCTGGAGATTTGCAAGAATTGTTACTCAGGAGGAAATGGCTGGTTTGGATGGTGGAGTCTATGGCATTGTACCTGTCTGAGGTCCAACCCTTCCTCAAACCTTGCCCTCTCTAGGCTCCACCTCTCAAATCCCCAGGAATTTCCCAACCTGGAGTTCACAACCCCATCTCCATCCCAGCTAACCATCAACCTACCATTATCTGCCCCTATAACTGCAGCCGACCTCTACCCTCCCTCCTGGAAATCTGTTGTAATTCTGAGTGATTGCCACCCCTCACCTGGAGATTGGCGACAATTGTTATCCTGGAATAAATGCTTTGGAGGGTGGAGTCTATGGCCATTGTACCTGTCTGAGGACCCACCCCTCCTCAAACCTCACCCTCTCTAGGCTCCACCCCTCGTATCTGCATGAATTTCCCAACCTGGAGTTGGCAACCCTATCTCCTTCCCAGCCAAGCATCAACCTGCCATTATCCACTGCTCTGGTTTCAGCTTTCCATCTTCTTCCCCCTCCCTCCTGGAGACCAGTTGTAATTCTGAGTGATCTCCACCCCTCACCTGGAGGTTGGCAACAGTGGGCGAGTGTGCCGCATGACGGAGTGAGCTCCCGTCTCTAGTTCCAGCTCCTGCCAACCTAGCAGTTCGAAAGCAAGAAATTGCAAGTAGATAAGTAGGTACCACTTCGGTGGGAAGGTAACAGCGTTCCGTGCGCCTTGGTGTTTAGTCAGGGCCGGATTTAGACTTGCTGAGGCCCTACGCTATACAAAACCCAGAGGCCCCCTACTGTTTTAAATTACATCAGCTGGTCTCAGAAAAAATTAAAATATATATGCCTTTTTAATATTTGAAAATATATTGTCTTTTAATTTTTATTAAAAAAATTATAAAGGATGGGTTTACAAAATCACAGAAATAATTACATAATTAAAGGGTTTTAAAATGACAAATAAGGCTCATAGAACAGAACGTTTTAAATTAAAATAGGAAAATAAAAGTAAATACTAGAAAATAAAAGATTACAAACGTTTTCTAAATAATGATTTTAAAAATTAATTCAAATTATTTAGGTATTAAAGATCAAAAAAATTAATTAATACGTTTTTGAGAGGGGAAAAAACTTCCTGACCAAGATCTCTTCTCTGCAATCAGCCAGAATTTATCAATCAACTCTACAACATGTCTTGACCCCAAGATTGCCCCCCCGCATACAGCCTTATAAAGCAAATCAGCCCCCCATCATATAAATTGTCATTCTAACACATTCCAGCAATAACAAGGCTACCCTACATCATACATACAATCAAGTGATCCAAAATCACCCACTCATCTTCTACAGCAAGATCTTCTAGCAGACCCTGCTCTGAAACACTGGCTCCTACACAGGGTAGCCAACCTCCAGGTGGAGCCTGAAGATCGCCAGGTATCACAACTGAACTCCAGACAACAGATTTCTCCTGCCTGGAGAAAATAACTGCTTTGGAAGGTGGACTTTATGGCATTTTGTTCAGCTGAGGTCTCTCCCCTCCCCAAACCCTGGCTTCCATAGACTCCTCCCCAAACCCTCCAGGAATCTCCCTATCTGGAGCTGGCTCATTGGCTGTCATGGGAGGGGCATCTCAGCAGGTATAAGGACCTAGAGTCCACCATGTTCTCCCTGGGGAACTGATCTCTGTCATCTGGAGA